TCTCTCTCTCTCTCTCTCTCTCTCTCTCTCTCTCTCTCTCTCTCTCTCTCTCTCTCTCTCTCTCTCTCTCTCTCTCTCTCTCTCTCTCTCTCATTTAATCTATTATGAATTCTTTCCTTAGATCGAGCGGATATCACTCGAGAAACGTGTACTTACCTACGCGCCGCTCTCGCTTCGCGACCGCATTAGTCAGCTAATTCATTTACTGACGATGCCGCTTGTAATAACGATTGACGATTGATTTGGAAACCAAGCTATTGATTTTATTAAATTAAAAAGAAGACAGACAGTTTCTAAGTTGTAGAATGTATTAAAAGTTAAAATTGCGTAAATATTTCTCTACTATTTTATTATATCTATATAAATAATTAAAATATCTTTTTTTATTCGTTATTGAATGAAATTTTCGAAACGAAATTTTATTTTTCTGCAGAAATAGGAAATCATTCATTATTTCTTTAAATTTATTCGTGTCTTTTTTTATAAGAATAGAAAGTGTACGATTTATATCTCCCCTTTGCATCTGGAACTTACCGGCGGTAAAGAAAGTAAATGATTCCAATTTGTTGAAGTGTTTCTTAACGCACCTTTCAGACTAGTCCGGATACGCACCGACGCGATCGTACTACTCGCGCGTAACGGAGCGCGCGTCGCGAAAAATCGCCGATAACATTAAAATTATTACGCTACGATGCGGCGCGAGGGCGACCGATAAACTCTCCTTGCCACGCGTCTGAGAAACGAGCGGATATCGAGAGCGATGAAATTTAACGCACCAGTGTTCGCACTTAGTGGTCTAATGCGAATTCCGCGGCGATAAGGCCTGATTTACGCCAGCTCTCGCCGGACGTCGTCTGGACCTCCCGTTTTGCCGCCGATGGTTGAAAACACACACACACACACACACACACACACACACACACACACAGGATTTCCGCGTGCGACCGCGCGTACCACGTAAATCGAAGAGAGAAGGGGGACAGGCGGTACTTACATCGGTAAATCACGCAGTGAAAGCCGCTTAGTTTTGGCGCCAGATACATCTCTCGTGCGGCGTTTATACCGGTAATGAGACACCCAGTTGACAGGCAAGAGGACCTCCGATTTTCTTATCGCGTGCATCATAAACGTCCGTCCCGTCGTCATGGTCAAACGACACAGCATTTGCGTTCTCTCTCGTAGTTACCTTCGCACTGATTGGTCTTAGATCGTTGACAATGTGGCAATGTGCGGACGCTCGATGAAATTTCGCGATACCGCGCTTTCCCCTTGTCCCCTGTAGTTTTCTTCTTGATTTTTCTTCATTTTTTTCCCACAAGTCTTAAATCCTATCTGTGAACTACCGAACTATTTTTGATTTGACACATTTCGTCGGACGTTTTTATATGTCCCAGTTGTTGCCACGAAAGCAGTCGCTAAATAACATACCACTTTGTAATCTGTCGCGTGACGTACGAATATATCGTCGGATTGTAAAAGTTTACTTCACGCTACCCATCGGAGCGCGGCCCGCTTTACTTTCATTATTTGTTATAAGTCGAGTGTATTTTTAGCCGTAATAAACCTAGTCACACGCCTATCCTCTTTGTGACTGGTGATACCTGGTATCTGGGCCAGTTCCTGTTGTCTCGTGTATATTGCGGCACACGCACCGTCATCGGCACGTGGCACGTGACACACACGCGCATATATCCACTTTAATAAAACGTCAGTATCGACATATGCCAAGTACAGAAGTTTCTACTACCAGATTTAAAATATCTTTTCTCCGACATACGTTCTCTTACCATTGGACCAATTCTATGCGAAATTGCATAAGTATCATACAAAACAGAGAGTATATTGTTCAATAAAAAAATTTATAACATAAAATTTATTGAGTTTTATATAGAATGAAATATATTTTGTAGGCATTAATAAGTATTTGATAAAAAGAAGTAAAAGGTAATTCAGCATAATTATTGAAAATATAAATTATCTAACATGTCAAACAAAATCAAGTATTAAAAATCACGTATGTATTTTGTATTTAAAAATACAAAACGTGAAAAAAGAGAAAGTGAAATAGCATATCCAATAAAACCATCTAAATTATTTCTCATGTTATTATCTCTCGTTGTCATGAGTTCATTATTTTTGCAATGGCGAATCGATAGATCGTCGAATGTCGCGATCGGACTTCATTGGCAAAGTTTCATTTCCTCGCGAAATGCAATCACGCACACGCATCTCTCGATTTCGATAATGAAAATCGTCGGATGACCGAACGGGTGCGTTCCATTTGCTTTTAATTGCTTTAATGCTTTTAACCGACACGGAGCACGCTGTGTGCATTCACTTGCCGCCCTTTATTTGCGCTATCCTACCGTCTAATTGCTTACACGACGTGCCACGTAGTCGCCGACGTATGTAGGCGTTATTGCAAGGTGCACTCGAGAGAGTCTCGCACCTTCGGCGATCTCTTCTCCTTCGAAGGAGGAGATACGAGCCGTGAGGCCTGATATTAAATTAAACATCACCGTGTGCCGAGGTAGCCTAGAAATGAACATTGAGATAGTGCTTCCGATATTGCTGACAGTTAACACTGTATTGATAGCGTATCATGTATTTTTCAAAATTTTTTATTTTGTTAATCCGAAGGGATCTTTATATTTCAATCTTTTATTTACACAATGAATTATTTGTTACATATTTGTTTTTTTTTTTCCCCCATTTGGAATCATGCTAAACTGTTGCGTGATTTAACAGCGTAATCAAGACAGGCTTGCTGGGATATAATATTCCATGTTGTAATATTTGGCACGTAAAAATACTTTAAGATGCAATCTCCGACATTAACGCATTCCGCGCGGGATACTCCTCCCTCTTTCTTGTCTTCACTCCGATTAAATTTTACTTGCATTCCTGCTCATCAGTGCATGCTTTTCAGCGGAGAAAACAGTAGAGAAAGGACAATTACTGACTGACTGCACGTCGTCTTAATTCTGGGTGTATCCGCAGAGCGTTGATTATCTCGCAATCAACATGATTAACATACGTTCTAATTCTCTGTACGTCTTAATTCTCGCTGCTTTTATACGCGATTTGTTCGACAATATAATTCTAATTAGCTTAATTCGCAACTTTCGATTAGTTATTGCAGCCGTATCTTTAGTTTTCCATTCCATTTCTTCCGCTTTTGTCACTGAGACAGCGGCATTTTCTCTTCTGCGGTGTATTCGAGAAACGACGTGTGCGGAAGAGCTTAGCCGATCCGATACGATGAAAATTACGATGTTTAGCGCGAGAGCATCCGTGTGATGATCAGGCGCGAGATACGACATGATCCATTTGTCTGATTGCAGGGAAACGAGGCGGTGGTGCCGGAGGGCTGGCCTCTGACGTTAGGCGGCAGCGGCCTGATCCTGCAGCTGGGCGAGCTCGAGGCGTCCGCGCTGCGTCTCGGGGAATGTTACCTCTGCGTACGCAGCGCGGCTGCTGCAACTGCTGCAACTGTAACCACCTCGTCGGTCAGCGGCGCTACGACCGCCGGTGAAGCCGCCGAGCAAAATACCGTTGAGGTGAGTCATGTCTCTTTTCATTTTTCTCCTCTTTTTCCATCCCTCTTCCCCCCTCCCCCCCCTCGCCCCATCGTCGTCGTCGTCATAAGGAAGCCGCGCCGGCGATGTCCTCCGCGTACCGCCGCGCGAAGAATGACACCTCCGTCTTAACGACCGTCGAAAAGACTTGGCCCGGAATTCCCAGCGTTCCTTCCGCGTGACCGTACGACGGATCCTCGGCATAAATATTAACAGTCATCGGATCCAGGCGCGTAATGGGACGCGCGTTATTAGACACGCGGTTTAAGTTTCTCAGGGTAATAAAGGACGTGTATCTGAGAATGCCGACGCGGCATTGTCACGCTTATAACGCTTTTCCGTATTCCCAGAAGTGTGCCGAGTTGGCTGATTTACTGTGACCATGAGTTACCGGCAGACCGGCTAAATTCATTCTTCAATTCATTCATTCATTCTTTCGTGCTTTCTTAAATGCTTGATAAGAAATACGCATGTTATAATATGTGATAATAGGCTCCGTTACAAGTGAATTTTTCTATTATTTTTCTATAATTTTTTTATAAATATCTTTGTAATTAAAGCTTAGATTGAGATATTATTTTAGCAAAATTTGATTGAAATAAGATAAACATTTAGATTCTTTTAGTAATTTTTTTGGAACTTAGATAGCGAAAGATATTATTCTACTTTATATTTTTTAATGGAAAAGTAGATTTTAAAAACAAGATTTTATATAATATAACATAACATTATATGCTATATTATATTTTATAATATAACATATAATTTTATATATGTATAAAATTCTTTTTCAAGATTTTCTTGGCATAAATAAAACGAACGGTAAAGATAAGATTAGAAAGAGGATTACAGTCAAAATTACCGCTGTTTGCAGATAGCAGTAGTCTGGCGAACTACGTCGATGAGGGCCCCGGGGATTTTGGGTTGGGAACGTGAAGACGAGTTTATGGACTGGCGGGACCTGACGCACAAGGGTCAGCCGAGCTCGTCGAATACGACGAGCGCAAATCTCAGTGGAGCGCAGCCCTCGAGCGCGATGAAAGCCATCGGTCGTCCGCGACGAAGATCGCGCGAGGATACGCGTCCTCGGACGCGCGAGACTAACAGAACCAGCAGCGCCGAGCATCGTCGGGAGGAGACCAGATCGATCGATAGGCTGGAGCACCAGTTCTGTCACGCGATCGGCGAATCCGGTCACACCGCTACAGTGATGAAGTCCAGATCCGCGTCTAGCGTTGACGCTTGGAAAGAAGATCTTGATGGTGAAGTCGATCGAAGCTCGGGTCGCAAAGCTCGCTCTAAAAATTCCTCTAGTCCCACCGGCGGCGACGAGAGCCGCGCTAAAGTGAAACGTTGCGCCAAGGTGGTCTCCCCCACAACGATGGAAAAGTGGAAGGAGAGCAGTAGATGCGAAATCCGCAGTAGGTCGGTCGCGCCGGAGGACCTGAAGAGTCCTCTGCAATTTGAAGAAAGTATTCTGCGGCGGGACAACGTCGCCGATGATTCGCCGAAAGATCTTGAGAACAGATTGCGGAACGCAGGTGGTCCGGACGACATCAGCGACGAGGATCTGCCGGCATACATAGGCAGTCTGCTCGTCACCGTTGAGAGAAAAATTGAGAGGGTCTCACTCGACGATATGACGTTCCCCTGTCCGGCCTGTAGAAATATAGACACGGACGATCCGCTATTGGGATGCAGATGCGCCGGCGACGACTGCGGCTGTGGTGCCGGCGAGGATAACTGCGACTGTTCCGCGCCCGTTTCGCGAAAGGAACAATCCGCGAAGAGCTTCGAAGTGGCGGGAATCAAGCATATTGACAGCGACGACGAGGAGGAAGTACGGATGGGATTCGGTGAGTAATGATCGATAATCTCTGCTTCTATATAATTTTATTTTTATAAAATTTTTACGAGAATCTTCTTTATTTGCATGCGCATGGAACGTACTAGTTTTTATTAATTTTTAAAAAGTGATTTAAGCAACGTTCTGCCTTTTCTTTAAGAATAATTTGAAGATATTTCTTAGGGATCCTTTGATAAAAGAATTGACGTTTATGGTGTCTGAAATAGTGTTAGATTTATTAATGAGCAGTCTACGCGAAGAGTAGTTTTGTTTACAAGATGTAGAGATAGAGCAACGTTGAATTTCGCTTCCGGAGTGGTCGCCTATCGGAGGTATGCGGCCTATGAAAACTCGCGAATGACTTCTGCCGAGCCGGCACACCAGCTGTTTCGCACTCGACGAACGCTTTTATGCAGACGCATGTGATTTACCAACGATTAAACTTGCACGGCATACCGAACTTGAAATTCTGGTTGAAGTGCAGCGTAGGCGGTATACCTGTAAAGTGGCTACTTCATGTCACACGGGCTGTTGAAAAATCTGAACGCTATTTGTGCATCGAATCGACGCTTGCACCTCGTTCATGCTTGCGTGAAAAAGTTTCATCGAAGGGATTTCAATGTCTGTGAATAGAATCACTGTACTCGTGACATTATTCTATACGCGTATTCGCGCGAATACCGCCTCTTACAGTTTAAAGTTGCGATAACGAATTTTACGATTGAAATATTTTTCGCTAAACAATGTATTGAAAATCCTTGTCGTGTATTTAACAGACTTTAATTCCCAACTTATTCTGCAACAATTTATATTTACGATACATGGATATAATTTAATTCCGAAGAATATTGATTTCGTTTGAAGAATTTATTTCGAAAAACCAACAAATCGATACAAATCGATAAAAAACAGAATTATTTCGGGAAAAATATGAATTGTCGTTCGATAGAAGTAGCGTGCCACCATTTAATCGTTAGATGCATTCAGAAATTTATATTTGTTTCTAAAATGTTTTACATAATTAATAATATTTGTTGAATTTGTTTGAATTTATTCAAATTATTAATTATATTAATTCTAAAACATACACTGTTTTATTTTACTCTTACATTTTGAACAACTTTTTTTCCAAATATTTGCAGTTTTATTTCTAAAACTACATCGAACAATTAAAAGCAAATGATGATTGTTTTCATTCGAGTTGGGTCGAAGATATTTTCGCTGCATGTTTCTCGGCGCTGTAAATTTTCGTGTCATGTGTCACAATCCCGGTTTAATTCGTCTCCCCGGGGGCATCGTTAACGAGCGATGACTCTCACGCCGGCGACGCAAGCGTAATTGTAACGGACGAGTATGCAAATTGTCGGCGCATTCGCTTGTCACTCGATCTTTCGTCATGGAACTCGCCAAACGAATCACTCGCGGGATACGGGGATACGGGGTCCGACCGGACCGGGGGCTGGACCGGACCGTACTTTTAAGTCTCGCGGTTCTTCTCGGCCGCCGATCTCCTTTCGCGTCCTCCCACGCTCGTCTCGGCCCGTCTCTTTGGTAACCGCCGCCGACAGGTTTGCAAAGTCAAGAGCCTTTATCCGAAACGTCGCCACGTCTGCGGTGTCGACATAAAAATGAGCTTACAGCATTCGCCGTTTCGTTGCGCGATTTTTTACGTAGCACCACGTAATTTGTGCCATCCCACGGGCGAACTCTCCTTTTTAAGCTCTCTTACTCTTCAATCGTGGGCCAAACTCTTTCATCGTACGTCATATGCAAACATGTACGTGTACATGTAATTTTTAGAGTCGCGTAGAACCGTCGTCTTAACCGAAGAACTATGTTTTAAATATAATATGAATGGAAAAATTTAATATAATAAATTCTTTTGTTTTGCTTTTTTGTTCAATAAAAATAAAATACAAGAAAATTTAACAGATTTAATAAAGATTTAATAAAGATATTAAATTGATCTAATTCTATATTTTTGCGGAATTACAATAAAAAAGATAATTGAATATGTTTGTATATCATCTTATGACAAAAATTATTTCTCTTTTATTATTTATCATAAGACAAAGAAAGCATTGAATTAAATATTTTCGAAATTTATATTTTCTTTTTTTATGTGACAGAAAACGAGGATATAACATTATATCAATAATGTATCGATTGTAAGAATGGTTCATACAGAATGCGCAGGTATCGTGCAATCATCGTAAGAATCATTTTTTAGTTTACATCTTAAAATCTATGATCTGCGGCATCGTAGACAATGCGGATGGGTGCGAATTGCGTTATTACGACCGATTCACGCGTGTCCGTGCAGTTACGGTACATGTGTATAAACACATTTCTTGACTTTCTTTGCAATTGGCGACGTGTCGGTAATGTTTGTGTTTGCGATGCGAGAGGCGAGCGACCTGCCCCGACAGTGAATGAACGGAGTAACGAACTCATCAATGAGTATTCGTGCTAGTGAGAAACGGCAGTGAACCGGTGACTTTCAGTAGTGTTAACGACAAACGAAAAATCGTTGAATAAAAGGAAAGTCGGCTGCGAGTGTCGAAATACATTTATGAATAATGTTTACGGACAAGCAGTTTTGAAATAACTTTGGAATAACGGATTTTTTGCAATTTAACTATATAAATTTGCTTGTGAGGTTAGATGAAGAACACTTTTTCTCTCTTGCTCTCTCTTAAAAGAATATTAAATTGGATTCTAACAAAATCTGCAGTGTTTATTTAAGTTTTAATAAAACGATGTATCGAAATTCAAATTATTTAATACAATTTATTTTAATTTAATTATATGTCGTTAATTTTACGACAAAGAATACATTGAATACATTTTTTTCTCTTTAGAAAATAAAAATATAAATAATGAGAGTTATTTATAGTAACAAGTAGTTTTTCATAGTGTTTAGTGTTATATTCCTTAATATAAATACGTTTTTTTTTTATTTTAGACGTAGTTTGTCAGCATTCGATTGTTAAATCAGATAATAAGAAAGCAAGAGAGAAAATATTACATCCATCAAGTACATTAAACACTTTTCGAAGTTCATAAATAAAAATAATCGCTAGAGAGAGTCATGTTTATATCGAGAGATAATTCTATCTGCATTTTCCTATCTCTATTTCGGTGTATCGATAGTCAAGTGCAAAGAACCGGTCGTTACTCTTTTCCGTAACGTCCGTTCTGCTGTCATCATTCCATAATCTGCATAGCCGGCGTGGCTGTGCTCGCAGCGCACACCACGCCATGCGATCGGACATGCCTTTGCGCCGGTTGTCGTGTTTCATTAGCACGTGGATATCTCATTGACGGCGACTCGGCGGTCTTCGTCGGCGCGATCCATTCGTTTTTTTGCGCGCGGGTTTGTCGGCACGCCGTGGAACATAATCCGCCCATCGTGCGACATAAACGCCACTGCCCACGCGCAAGGGTGCTGCAAGAGAGGAGGATATTGTCTGGAATGACTTACGGCAGCTTGGAATGCATTCGATTTCGCTTCCTCTAGTCTTCGCACGCGAAGGCCGGCAGGCTCACGGGATAAAAAGGAATATTTGTTACCCCATAGATTTTCTAAGAAAACCAATCTTGACGCGTGGGAATAAAACGTGATAAATGATAAAAAATACACGAGACAGAATAAATTCATGAAACATTCTTTAAGTTATCAAGATAAATGACTGATTGAAGCTACAATGGATAAATCGACTTAAAAGATTGTTCTTGATCGTAAACATATTTTTTAATGGTCATTTCGGATAATATTATGTAATAATAGCGGAAAAATAGAGGCAGCCGTGCTAATTCTTAAAAAATCCAAGAAAACTCGATTACATGTCGTAGAATGTCGAAAAATAAAGATGCACGCTTAAGGTAATGCTTCTAAAAATTCGCGATCAAAGTCAAGTTAGAAGAACAATGCTCGCGAGGAAAATCATGGGGAATCAATCAATTAGACCAAAGGTGTCACCAATCATCGATTAAAATTTATAAAACGTGACAGCTCAAGAGAGTATAATTAGATAAGTAGACGTGTCGACAAACAGGTTTTGTATTAAAATTAGTAATATTTTACATACACATTACAAATAAAAATATTATTTTTGTAGAATTTTTATATTTTAATAATAATTATTTTTATCGAATTGAGTTTGCGATAGTAAATTTATTAGGTTTCTACAATATATGTTAATGTTACGTGCGATTGGGAAACTCTCGCATTTTCACATTCTTCTCATAAGTTCGATGGCTTTGCGTTCCCACCTCACAATTTGACGTATGACGATTCTCTGGAAGGTGTTTTCATCTACGGATATCTCGATGCTCAATTAAGCATCCACGACCGTCTCACGTTTTCTCGTTCCAGATGGAAACATTCACTCGCGGAAATTCTTTGAACGCGCCGCAAAATCCTGCCTCCCGCAAGAACCGATCTCATATCGCCGCGTATCGTGGCGGTTAATTCTCGGCTGACAAGACACGAGCAGGAAGAATGCGACGGACTTATACTAGTATTGCCACGCGAGAAAATCAACCTGGACTTTAACAGCGGCAATAACCGCAACGCACACTTCGTATCAGTCGTAAAGAAATGAATAGGAGGACTACAAAGAACTATTCCCAAAGAACTTCCATCTTTAACACTAGAATACTCCATCTAATCTCACTGCGTGTTTAATCCTCTTTCAAATTGAATGTTACTAATTCAGTCATATATATTTAATTAATTAATATTTCTGGGAAAATATATTGTACTAAACATTTTTTTAACTTCAATTATTGATGCACAAATTATTTTTTACTTTAAAATTCTATTCACAGAATGTTTAAAAAAAGTGTTAGTCTGACATCAAGAAACTGATTGTGATTGTCCGGCTGAAATTGTTAAGAAAATGATGCAAAATTAATAATAAAAATAAATTAAAGAGAAATTTCTCTGGTTGTTTACAGCAAAAGTTTAGTTTTATTTATAGTGAAACTCATTAATATCTTTCGTTT